TCCAGGATGGGTTTTTTCCAGATCTCTGCTCCAAAACTGAAATCAGGGATATTCACCCAGGGCTTCTGCTTTTTGTTTAGTTGCATGATAAACATAGCCTGAGAAGGTGCTACACCACTGTGCAACTTCTTCATTTCTGTCTGTTCAGTGAAATGAACACGCACGGAGAGCTTTAATCAAGTCCTCTTGAGGTACAACGACTCTCTCCACTTGTTTTCTCAATTTCAATAATGTTTGTAGTGTTCTTCTTTTTAAGTCAGATAGATCCTTCTGAGCCTTGAGGGCATTTACATACTACTGTTCCTTTAGAAATTTGTATGTAATGAGTATGTTAACGATTAATGTCCTTTAAAAAACAGCAAACTGTTGAGTTACTCCTGACCTTCTGTTGTATAGAGTTAACAGTTATTCAGTCTTTGGCAGTCTGTCTGATAGAAAGAGATATTGGGATGACAACTGTGATTTGTTTTTGAGCAACTGCACACTACACAGTAGCTATTTGCTCTGATTTTAATTGAATTTATTCTTGTTCCTTTTATTAAAACTGATTGGCAGAAGGAACCCAGTATATTCAGATACTATGGATTTTAAAAAATAATGAGTTAAAAGACAACTACCTAATAATTCAAATCTTAAAATCCATCTATTGAATCAGAAATTATTATCTACAGACAATGACAGATACTTCCCTGTTCGCTTCACAGCCATTTACCACTTTAATCCCTAACACAGTCCCTGTATTTCTCTACAGAAAGGTAATGTTCTTGTGCTTAAAAATGTATTTACATGTAAGTTTCTATAATTTCTCTTAGGCAATGAGAGCAGCATTAGCAGAGCCCATTACTCCTCAGCCATTCAGATCTCAAACAAATTTAACTGGCAAAATCAATTAATTTCTGAGAAGGAATAAATATAAGTATTTCATTGCTTTCTGTGAGTTAATGGATATGTATAAAATATAAGTAAAAATATAAATTCTGTGCAAGGAAGGCCATCTTTTTTGAAGGAGATAAAAAGGTGGGAGGCATGCAAATTTCTACAAGCTGTTTATTGGAAACTACACAAATGCATCTATTTGCCTTTGGCCTCAGTATCCAGTAGGCCCAGTTATGTTCAACATTATCTATAGGAAGAGGCAACTCAGGTTAAATACTGAATAAGACAGGAAAATATGCCTTACACAAAATGATCTAAAAAGTAGCGAAGGTACTCGGGTAGCAAAGTCTCAAAGGCAGCATGTGCTGAAATGAAAATGGTTTATACTTAAAAAGAGATTTTCACACCATCTCCTTGACAAATTAGAAACCTTTGCTGCAAACTACAAGGGCATTATATGAGAGTTCTTAGACATAGTTCAAAATTATAATGGTAGGCTTGCTGCTGTTCTCCACCTAATGGCAATTATACTGACTGAACAGATTAGCTACTCCATGAGAATTTCAGCTGTACGTGTTGTAAAGAATGACATGCTGAACCCTGTGTAATTGTCATTGCAAATGTATTTTTTATTGAAAAAAAGCGGTTCTATATTCATAACAGTGCAACGATCTGGGAGTGCTAAATAAAATGTCATCCTGACCGCAAACAGATCCTGTTGACGCAAGTGCTGCTTATACCACTGTGTCTGCCATTAAGAAAGTAACCACCATCTTCTGGGAAAGCATTCAGAGTCATGTTCAATTGAGACCGTGAAAATGAGAGCACTTGGGGAACAGACCCGGGAACCTGGCAACCACACTGCTGAAAAAGAATTCTTGCAACAAAAAGGAATTTGCATGTTCACCTCTGTATTACCTAACAAGGACACTCCTGCAATTCAAGATTCTCTATGCCGTACCCACTGCACAAGTTAAAGGGTAAATAATAGTTACCAACGAATAGTTCTTCCTCATTTCCCACGACAATGCGATATATGGTACTGTACATCTAGTTAATGATGAAATCTGTAGGAATTTAGCTAGCGACACCAACAGGGGAACGATTTGGCCCTGTTAGCCAGGCCAAAATATAATTTTATTTGAATTCCTTCAAGTTGCTTCATCTTTTGTATTAGAGAAATGGGTTTAATTGGGACACACAATTCTGGTGGAATACAGTCTATTTACTCCTTTCAATAAAATTAATTTTTTTGAGTTGTCTGATAGTTTTCAGTTACACTTTTAGTGAGAAGCAGAATTTAATTAAGCAATTAAATTATAAACACAGCCTATAAACCTCCAGCTTCACCTAGCTCACACAGTAAATTTCCATTTACTCACTGTATGTGACAGGCTTTTCTCTCATCCATTCTCTAATATAGTTATTTGCCAGGTCACTTAAGGGACAGCTCTGCTATCCTATCTTAAGAACATGGCAATAATTTCTTTCAAAGCATTCATAAACCTAAAGTAAAAGGACTGAAATCAGGTACAGTCTTTATTATTTTTTCTTGTGCTTGTGACTGTATGTCATCTGTGTTTAATGGTCTATATTTCTAACATAATGAGAAGAAAGAGAGATAGAATGCGTATGGCACAAGGAAGATTTGTACTTGAGGTGATACACTTTATGTAAGAGTGTACAGCTGAGGTTTTAGAGTGCAAAGGTGACAGGACACAAACTCTAAAATTAGTTTTCTCACTTCACAAATTGATTTCAACATTTTTTTAAATTTCTAATTTGAAGAGATATCCTCTTCAGTATCTACAGGCATAAAAATACTGAATGGAATATTTGTACTATCTAGCTTTAGGTATCTTACCTAGAAGGGATACTGTTTTAGGGTGCATTTGTATGTGATGACATGAGATGGGTCCTTTCACAGAGAAATTGTTGAAAGATCTTCCAAGTACTCTGAATCACCTGCTTAATGAACCTCTCCCTGTTGATCAGAGAGGATCAAGAGATTACCTGACCAATGTGAGCTCCTATTAACTCATCCTAATGGGCTCTGGTATGGATACCACCAGCATGTCTGGTCTCTTTTTTAACAATTCCAAACAGAGCTATTCTATTTAGAATCATAGAATCATTTAGGTTGGAGAAGACCACTAAGATCATCAAGACCAACCATTAACCTAGTAATGGCAGATTCGTGACCAAACTATGACCCTGAGCACCACAGCTACAAACGTTTTAAATCCCTCCAGGGACAGTGACTTCACCATCTCCCTGGGCAGCCTGTTCCAATGCTTGATAACTGTTTCGATAAAGAAAATTTTCCTAATACCCAATCTAAACCTCCCCTGGTTCATCTTGAGTACATTTCCTCTTGTCCTATCACTTGTCACATGGGTAAAGAGACCAAATCCCATCTCGCTACAACCTCCTTTCAAGTAGTTGTAGAGAATGATGAAGTCTCCCCTCAGCCTCCTTTTCTCCAGGCTAAACATCGGTTCCCACAGCCACTCCTCACAGGACTGGTGCTTCAGACCCTTCACTAGCTTTGTTGCCCTTCTTTGGACACACTCCATCACCTCATTGTCTTTCTTGTGGTGAGAGGCCCAAAACTGAACACAGGATTTGAGGTGCAGCCTCATCAGTGCTGAGTTCAGAGGGACAATCACTTTCTTTGTCCTGCTGGCCACACCATTCCTGATACAGGCCAGGATGCCGTTGGCCTTCTTGGTCACCTGGGCACACTGCTGGCTCATGCTCAGGTGGCTGTCAACCAACACCACCAGGTCCTTTTCTGCCAGGCAGCTCTCCAGCCACACTTCCTAAAGCCTGGAGTGTTGCCTGGGCTTGTTCTGACCCATGTGCAGGACCTGGCACTTGGTCCTGTTGAACCTCCTCCCTGGCCCATTGATCCAGCATGTCTTCAAGCAGATCCATACTCCTGCCCAACTTGGCGTCAACCGTGAACATACTGAGGGTGCACTCTATCCCCCGCCTAGATCATTGATAAAGTTATTAAACAGAACTGAGTATTTAAAGCTTTCAAGTGAAAACCAGTGGAAGTTTTGGGGACCAATGGATTTTTTCCAGTCTTCAGTTATGACTGAGAAAAAAAGAAAAGCTTTTATAATTTGCTAGTATTTTTACTTGTTTACTGGCTAAAGAAACTATTCCTCCAAAAATGTACCATCTTTCTACCTTTAAGTCCCTCACTGGCAAGGAGCTCCACTTTGATGCAGCATTTATAGTCATCACCCTAGTCTGTCTTTCCAGGTGGAAAAAAATTTAATCCTGAGAATACTACACACTCAATGTACTTTCCCATAACTGTGGATAATATATGTGGATAATATGCGGAAATCCCAGAATGCATCAGACTTGCATTGGGTCTGTGTGCATGAAAGAGAAAGTAGTCCGTACATCTATTTCATAATATATATATATATATGCACAATCCCTCTACTTTCATGCAGTCAAGGCAATTCAGCCACAAATACTACTTCAGCTATGCTCTTTTTTACGGCCACTCTGTTAAATATTGCGATATCAGCGATCAAAAATCCTCTCTGCACTCTTGGGGAATATATAATCAGCTTCATGAAATTAGGAACATGAAGAACTACCATTCTCTCCACCTTCAACTGTAACTGGAAAAATAAATACATCACTAAACAAAGTGATATTAGAGAAATGTTAAATCAACTTTACAAAATTAGTTTTCCTATGAAGACCTTCATCAATAAATCCAGCAGCCCCGTTAAGAAACCAATACCATTATTTTTGCTGATGACTATGAAATTACTTTTTGCTAAATAGACAAACTGATTTTGAATTTTACAGCCAGAGTTTTCTACATCACTTAGTTACATCTCTTTCACAGAAACTACAATTGCAATATATTCCAAAATATAAAACTAACTAAATTGCTAATAGTTATTACATCATAGTTAAGTATCAGTGTAAATGAAGAATACATGGACTATGCTACATCAACATTAATTTTAATGATCACACATGTTCTGGTGAATATCTTGATATTGCTGAAATCAACAAAAATAGTAAAACAACAGACACAACACACTATATCTGTAATACATGCACACATGCACACAAATAGTAATCACCTGAGTCCTTTTCTGCTGTTGCTAAATATAAAAAAGAGAAAAAAAACTGTTACAGAAATACAACTTATTTAAATTCATTAGAGAAAAATAAATACCAAATAAGGAGTTAAAATCTTCTTAAAATCTTAAGTATAGCAATGAGAGTTTTGATAGTCACAGAATAGAAGTGATTTTTAAGCTGAGGGAGAAATGGTGTATGGTTTTAGATAGGATATATATATATTTACTAGTTCTATATAGTCCACATTTTGGGCTCACTGGCTGATTTTTTCTCCATATTGTGCCTGGGAATTAAGAAATAATAGTAAAAGAATATAAGAAAGTAAGAACATATGAATATTATTTTTGTTAGAGCCTTCTTTCCTTCTCTACTTTTTAGGTAGTTATTGTTGGTTTATAGATGACATTATCATGCAATAGTTGTATTTTGGCTGACTGACATGATGTTGTTCAGTGAAGAAATATTCAAAGAATAGGATATCAGTAATGTTATAAAGATAATGACTATATGTTTTCTGTATGTAACCTGTGAAGTAAGCAATTAATGCAAACACTAACATGAATTACTTTCAAGAGAAGAACGTAATTTCAGTGCATGGATGCAATAATGTTCCCATGAACCTAAAGAAGTAGAATGGAACCTCTTGCTGAAAACCACTACATTTATACTGGTAAAAAGGTAGGATATTTGTAATGACTAGAAAGAGATACTATACAGGTCTCACTCCTACTGAAAACCAAGGTGTTTAATTTTCTGATGTTATGATCCTGGAGTGATTCACTTTCAAATATTACTCTCTTCTCAGAAAAGTACTCAACCTATTTCTCGTTGAGGTACTAGACTTATACATGAAATTATCTATTGTGCTTTGGGTTTACAATTGCATGGGTATAAAAGTACATACAGAAATTTAGTTGTGTTTCAACCAAAAGACAAGCAAATCCAAAAAGAAATATAAAAGTCAAAATGGGACGGCGGGCAGTTTTATGTGCTGCTCCAGCTTACTGTAGCGTTAACAGAGTGCACAAAGTGCAAAATTTGCTACTTGCAGTGGAACTGCCACAATTCTCTAGGATATAGGGCAAAGGTGTATTTACATCACTGTAAAAAACTTTTCCAATCCCATTTACTGTCAGTGACCTTAGGTATCTTTTGAATGGTCTTGTAATCTTTTAAAAATGTTTCTATTTTTATATTCATTTTTTTCGACACATTTACTAAAAGACTAAAATACTAAACATTAAAAAATCCCCTTTATGAAAAGAGAGAGATAAGAACTAAGGAAAAACAGTTATTTCTGCCTTTCCATTTTCCAGAATAGATTTAATATTCATCCTTCTTTCTTTAACACAACATGATATCATAATTAATTATGATAAACTGGTTACTAAGATGGTTTCATGTTGTTACTCCCATGATATAATACTGGTTGCTATAGTGATGAGATGTTTTTTTGTTAATCGCTTATGAGATTGGTTAACTCATGCTTTTCAGAGAATTTGAGCACAAATGGAGAAGGAAAAAAAGTTGGGTTTATAATATTGTTAAACATAGGAGCCTTCGTTTTACTGCTATGATAATTCTGTTTCTTCTAGTGTATTGCTAGAAATATATGAAATAGAAATATGCATAAAATTCAGATTTTTTTAAAGGAGAATTCATCTTTCATATATTTTCCTGCTAAATGACTCTCCCTCCAAGAATCCAGTTATATAGATGCACACACACTTTTTCCTACACCTGAGTATGTAAGTACAGGTATATTTTAATCTTTCTGTGATTTAGGGATAATAACAGATGTTTCTTGAGAAGACATTTTATTATCATAACTTCATTTCCATGCTACATAAGGTTTACAAGTAGTAAAATGACGTATATCTTAGCCTATTTTTTTTGAGCAGAATCTTTGTTAATTTCACAATATACTTTCTAGAACATACCTAAATTTCAGAAGATTCCCATCAAATCTAGTATTTTATCCCATTAATTAATTCAGAAAATCAAGATGTAAATAAGGTTTTAATAATCACATTATTACTATACATCTGACAATAAACCAGCAAAAAATAACACTCATCTATTTGTAAGTACATCAGAAAAGCACCTATACCCAGAGTTTTCAAGTTTCAAGGAATTGTCACTGCTGTTAAGGAAAGAATTTCCTGTCAGCAGTTTAATTACTAGAAATAGTTAGAGAAATAAAAAATAACCCATAAACAACCTTTTAGATTTACAGAGAACTCATAAGTAAGAACAAAGGGCAACTTAAATTAGGAAGTCCTAGTCTTCCATTCAAACAGGGTCCCAGGAGGCATATTAAAGCAATGAATAGGAAAAAGCTCCATAGTTCACCAGCTGAGATTTTAATGAGACATTTCCCCTTGCTGTGGAAGGGGTTTGTTCTGCAAAGGGAAAAGGCTGCTCACAGAATATTCAGTTAATAGGCATTATTGGCTTTTACAGCCACTTTGGCAGTTGATTGCTGTACTAACCTTCTATTTTGGCATATTCTGTAAGCCGAGTGTAATTGATCAAGGCAGCCTTCTCCAGACATTTTCTAACCACTTTCTTCACCTCTTCTGCTGGTATGGGAGTGGCAATATCTTTCATTAAAACCTGTGCCAGAGACAATTATACCACTTGGTTACAGTCATAACCCAAAACCCAAGGGAAGAGGATAAAAGTATCCTGAAGTTACTAGAGATCTGATAATGACTGAGGGCAGAAATCAAAAAGGAGTAATTTCAACTGGTAGAAGTAGATAACTGTCTTTGAAGGTTTCTGCTCGACCTTGGTTTGACTGCCTACATGGTAGTCAACCTGGACTACATATCTGTTTGAGTGGGTACAGAGGAGGGTCACAAAAATGATCAAAGAGCACCTCTCCTACAAAGACAGGCTGAGAGAGTTGGAGTTGTTCAGCGTGGAGAAGAGAAGGCTCGGGGGGGACCTTACAGCAGCCTGCCAGTACCTGAAGGAGCCCTACAGAAAAGCTGGGGAAGGACTGTTTACAAGGGTGTGTAGCGACAGGACGAGCGGCAATAGTTTTAAACTAGAGCAGGATAGATTTAGACTAGATATCCATGAGAAGCTCTTTACAATAAGCATGGTGAAACACTGACACAGGTCACCCAGGGAAGTTGTGGATACCTCATCCCTAGAAGTGTTCAAGGTTAGGCTTGATGGAGCTCTAAGCAACACGACCTAGTGGAAGGTGTCCCTGCTCACTGCAGGGGGCTTGGACTAGATGACCTTTAAAGGTCCCTTCCAACCCAGTGCATTCTACAACTATTTATATACAATATCCCTACTGTTTGGTACCTTGCAGAGTGCCAGTCGGTTTTAGTTTGGGTGATGCCAAGACCAGTATAACAAGAGCATTCCATGGATGGGCTGCATTATGGTGGCCACTAAGGATGTGGATGTGGAAATGTGCTTGGTTCTCACCTGTGGAGAAGCTTCCACCATTGCACAACTACTGACTCTTCAGCTGTGTAAATGAGAAACTGAACATCATAAGAACTAGCTAAATCCAAACTGCTTTTCCTCCTTCATAAAATTATTAAAATTCAGCAAGTCCTTGTTGCAAAAACCAGTCATTTATAGCAGGCAAGGAAAACATCAGATTTCTGGTGGAATATTTTACTATGGACAAGTAGAAAAAAGATCATATAAATCTTTATTAAAACCTGCCAGTTTTTAAAGCCTCTTCATTTTTAAAATATAGGACTTGGATAAAATGGATCATCTGTTGAAAATGTGGTAAACTGAGAATATGTATCTCTTTATATGAATGGAATATGACATACTCTGGATTCCCACTACAAAAAGGCATAAATATAGTTAAAAATTCACTTGCATTTTTACTTGAATTCTATACTGCATTAACTTTCAGTAGGTATGTGCAAGCAAAAATAAATATGTTTTTACCACATTTAATGTAAATAATACAAATTCAAATAACTCACAACCTCATAAAAATGTTTCTCCAAGGGATCCCTGGGCAAGCTACAGACTTATAAAACTTACCTAAAAATAACTGTTACAGCGAGGGAGCAAAAGATAAGGTTTGGGGAAAGATATTACAGAAAACAAGCAGGTTCAGCAACGGAGAAGCTATCAGGAAGATATTTCAATTCAAACTTCTTCTATTACTTGCACACACATGACATATCTAGCTTTGTTAACGTGCTTCTTTATAAATAATAACTTCTGGTTTATCATAGAATGGCTTGAGTTGGAAAGGACCTTAAAGATCATTTGGTTCCAACTCTCCTGCCATGGGCAGGGACAACTCCCACTAGACCAGGTTGCTCAAAGCCTCATCCAGCCTCACCTTGAACACTTCCAGGGATCAAGTATTATCAACAAGTGAAAATAAAGTATTCAAACCCTTTTATTCTGGCTCTGATTTTTTTTTCCCCAAAACTTTAAAAACCAAGTAAAATAAAATGTCTCTAGCCAATTCTGCATCCACAAGTAGAGGAATGTACATTTATTCCCAGTGAATACTGACTGAGGTGTTGCTTGAGTACCACATGGAGTATCTTTGCCATTTGTAACAACAGGGACAGTGAGAGGAAACAGCAGTATCAAATCACAAAAAGGAATCTACACAGCACTACAATCACTGAGATTATAACTGAAAGAAAATATACCTAGTCTCTCTACGTGCTTTTGAACATGGCAGAGGTTTTTAAGACAGAATCTAAACTCACGGAGTGTCGTGCAGAACAGCTGACACTCCCCAGGATCAGACCTCCCAGATTTTGGCAAAGCTACAGGGACTGGGATCTAAGCTTCTTTTTTGAATTCAGACCTTCACAAGGCTCATGTTGACACAGTTCCTCTGGAACGTCTGCTGGAATTTAAAGTCCTCTTTCTTCAGAGATGACCGAGATGCTTTTATCATTATGAGGTCTTCTCCCTTCCAGTCGATAGAAGAGGATTTGCAGGGCAGGAGTTTATATTTATGACTGCCCATTTCAGTTTTGCTGCATATAGCTTTTTCTTTTTAAATTCATAGAATCATAGAACGATCTGGGTTGGAAGGGACCTCAAAGTTCATCTAATTCCAACCCCTCTACCATGGCAGGGACATCTCCCACTAGATCAGGTTGCCCAATGCTCCATCCAGGCTGGCCTTAAACACTTCCAGGGATGGAGCATCCACAACTTCCCCTGGCAACTTGTGCCAGTGCCTCACCACTCTCAGGGTAAAGAACTTCTTCCTTATACCTAGTCTAAACCTATGCTCTTCCAGCTTCCACCCACTATCCTTTGTCCTATCGATACAACCCTTGTAAAAAGTCCCTCCCCAGCCTTCTTTTAGAGTCCCCTCAGGTACTGGAAGCCTTCTCTTTTCCAGGCTGAACAAGCCTAACTCTCTCAGTCTGTCCTCACAGGAGAGGTGTTCCAGCTCTCTCACCATATTGGTAGCCCTCCTCTGGGCTTGCTTCAACAGCTTCATATCTGTCTCGTGTTGGGGGTTTCAGAGCTGGAGGCAGAGTAGAGGAGCAGAATCACCTCCCTTGACCTGCTGGTCACACATCTCTGGATACATCCCAGGATATGGTTGGCTTTCTGGGCCGCAAGCACACAGTGTTGGCTCATGCACATCTTATAATGCACTAAAACACCCAAATCCTTCTCCCCAGGACTGCTCTCAATCCACCCATTGACTCAGATTATGCATTTATGGAAGATTATTTGGAATATACAGAAGCTTTTTAATGTTACATATTAGTATAGGCAACACCAGCAGCATAGAAGCCATAAAAAGCAGGAAAGAGGGATGTAGAGTAGTCTTGTACTACTTTAGAAGTAATGCTAGGTAATCACTAAATAATAAAGAAACATTATAAAATTATAAAGAAACTGTAGTCATTGTCTTGAAGTGAAATTCTAATAAACAAAACCTTCAGAAAACAGCTGCTTGTTTGCCTCTGTGGAAGACAATGAGAAAAAAAATCCTCTCTCTGGGAAATTAAAACCAGTAGTAAAATATCTGAGAAGACATAAGACTGCTTTCAGCAACCTAAGGGTGAAAGAAATCCTGCAGACTTAGTACTCAAGCAGAATTTAAAATATGTTCTCAAACTTACCCTTTCAAGTAATGAAAGTGTGGCTTTTAAAGCTCCTTCAGGACGTCCAAAAGGGAAACAGTATCTTAAAAAGTAAATAAAATAAAAGAGAAACAAAGAGGAAGAGAAAATTATCAGAATTGTAATAACTAAGCTAAGAATTTACTCTGAGACGTAACTATACACAATTTGCAGTAAATTATGTTAACTGAAGATTCCCATACATGGAGCACTAATGAAAGCAGAAGACCTCTTCGATACTCTGCCATGGAGGTTATACACAGTGCAGAAGTATCAGTTCACCAGTGGTTCAGGCCTAAATGCAGAAAAAATACAAAAGGCAAAAAAGCACTGCTTCCACTTTCTCAACTACGAAGGATGTTTAATGGCCCGATGAGCTTTATTGTCATCTGCTTGGAAAGAGGTACTATTTCTCATGTAGCCCTGACAGCTACTGAAGCTGTGAAGTAGCACCCTGAATAATACACCTTGTTTTAATATTGGATTAAGATAAAGATAAAATGTCAGATATTTAAGTTTCTAGATATATATGGGAATAAAAATATTTGCAGATATTCCATTAGTCTTCCTATTATATTTTAAGTAGCTTGGAAAATCATTTTACGTTCTCTTAAATTTTATCAGCTACAACTTCTGTCTCAATACTCCTAAAATTATGTAAACTAAAAGTGATCCCATTCATAGCTTTGTTTTCATTCTTGCCTACTGAACGATCCAATATACCAGCCCAATGAGACTACAATGCTCAGGCAACTGTAACCTCTCTTAATCCTGTCATTAAAATCTTGCTGGGATATCCCCAATTGGAAAAAGGATTTTTTACTTTACTGAGATTATTTTTTTCCTATTATTACTCGCTGAGAATGGTAGCCTCATATTCTAATGTTTTCCAATAATAAAATCCTTTTCTAACAGTAAAAGGATTCAGACCAATGAATTTTAAATATACTTTTTGGTCAGCCAAAATTAAGCTCTGTAAATGAGGTCACAAAAGGATTTCCTGCTGTGAAAAATCCAACATTTGCTCTGCCTCATTTTGTTTCTTTCTTACTGTAGTGTTAGCAATTTTTGAGACAGGTTAACAAGTTAGCAAAGTAGATTTAATGACCCATAGACATTAAGTCATCTTAAACCAGAACACATCTTTAGGTGTTTTGTTTCCTCCTCTTTTTGCAGTATATTTCCATAGCCCTTAATTTGTCTTTTGCACTGTTTATTCCTATCAACCTCTAATGGTAGTTTTTGAATACATGTCAGTTACTTCTTGATTATACTTGGTATTGCAAATCAAAGACTTCTTTGAGGTACGTTCTACAATGTAAATAACATAACATGCTTCTAAACCCCAAGCAGTTTCAAGTTCATGATGCAGACAGAAGTCCCACTGCAGAATAAGGGTTACTCACTTTATTGCAGAGACAATGTATATGGGTACATCACAAGCAGCAAGTTTACATATACAATTGGTGCAAAGAGCTTCTGACACAGAAGAGCTGTTTCCTTGACATAAGCAGCTTAGAGAAATGGAAACATTCACAGTAGAAGCCTAAAGGGACACTCTGAGCAGTCGTGCCTACAGTGTTACAGCCTCCGTGCTGCGGAGGAGGCAGGGAAGCAGCAGCTTCCTGGCAAGGAGAAATTCAGTCTCCTGGATAAAACCCCCATGGCAGCTGATCTCACTATTCGGCTGTGACAAGGCTGCTTCCACAGCTGAGGGGATCCCTAGACAGGCAGACATAGATGGTGACAGTAGTCAATTCAGTTGTTAGATGTATGGACAACTGGGTCTGTGATATCCAAGAGGACCAAGCAGTACTTTAATTGCTGGGTACAGAGGTAGTGGACACCAGAGGTTTATAAAGGTTACCTAGGGGAGAATAGAGAAGGAGCAGCTCTCATGATCTACATTAGTACTAGGACCATAAGGAATTGTAGGAGGAACACTCCAGAGATAAAAATCATGCAGCCAGGTGACAGGCTGAAGTCAAAGACCCTCATGTCAACTTTCTCTGAAATATTGGCTTTTCCACATTTGACGTCAGAGAGGTGGGCAGAGATCTGAAGTCTCTATGAGTAGATAAGACGACAAAAAGGGAGGGTTTAAGGGTTTAAGTGATGAAAGCCATCAGCACAGGATGGGCTGGAGCCAGGCTGCTAGCTGTGAAAATTAAAATTAAAATGTCTGTAGATGACTATTAAAACTGGAAGCTGTGGGTTAGCTGACAGTATGGGAGAGCATCTTTTTCAGATGTGCGTCCTAGCGACCTAGGTGGACATGGTAAATCTTCAGCGCATCTCTGAAATGGCAGGAAGAGAAATGCACTCCTCAGTTAAACTGTCCACAATGACAGCTGACAAGCACATGCAATGTTAAGCAATGGAGCAAGAGCAAAATTTAGAAAAGTTTGGACATATTACAGAAAAAAAAAGTGCTGGAGATCCTTAAAAGCCTATACTGACCCCCAATCAGAATTATGAAAGTGATCAGGAAATGTTAAGTGAGATTAGACAAGCTGCAAATTGGTGACAAATAGTAAGAGGTTTCAACTACACACGTGTACCCTTCATCAGTGTCGCATGTGGATGAGACATATTGACAATATGGGACACAGTTTTGAATTGCTTCCTTGGATAGCTAATTTAAGATCGACAAGAGAACATGATATTCCAGATTTGGTCTCAGATGTGAACAAGACATAGTTTGAGAGATGCAGAGCAGGAAAGGTGCTCTGCAGTAGTGATCATAAACCTGTAAGATTTAATAATGCAGCAAAAGAGAACAGGTCAAAAAAAATTCAGTACGTGTACATTCAGTACAGGTATATTCAATTTCAGGAATGGAAAATGTGAAAAAACCCCCAACAAACAGTAGAAAGAGCAGTGGAAGCAGGAAGCTGCCTGGGAGCTGGAGAGACTGCCCAGGGACAAGGAACACAGGGCAGTCAGGGACAGTGAGACTAAAGTGGGGAAACTCAGTGCATGTTCTGCATCAGTCTTTACTGCTGAATGTATTTTTAAAAATACTTAGTGTTTCATGGTTATCACAACAATTCTGATGGACTGAACTATGGAGTGATTTTTAATATCATGTGTTCTTAAGAAAGCAATCTCACAGCCAAAGTTATTCTTTGTTAATTAATGATACAAGTGATCTTTTTACATTGCTTGAGTCAAGGTTTTCTTCAAAAGCCTAATACCAGTTCTTTATCAAGATGTCCTATATTGTGACCCTATACACTTCATAAATTCAGATTCCAGGGCACTATTGAATCCTCCTAGCAGTATTATGTCAGTACCCTCATTTAAATCCAGACATTCCACCTTTTTTTATTTTTTTCAGAGAAAGGTATAATAATTGCTCTTCACTTGGCAGAACACTGTTTGCCTTGATTAAGTTAGATTTTAAGGCAAACCTTAGAGTCATCTGAAGGATGGAGGCACTTGTCTTTGAGTGACAGATTTAATTGCTCTCAAGGAGGAGTTTCTAATGGTGTTTGGATTCCCTCATCACTGATACACACCAAGTACATCAACATACTCTAGTGTGTAGGTAAGCAGACGTGATGGGTGTTACATTTATTTGTTCCAACTCAAAGAATTATTGAGACATTATTATATATTTTGTAATTAGTCTCATGCACATGAAAGCCTGAAGGTGAACATAACTATTCTGGATGCACAGCCTCTCCTCCTGCTCCCCTGTTTCCCTCCTCTCTCTATATATATTCAGAAGGCTTCTGCTGCTTCAACATTTTTTGGGTCACAGCTACTCTCCCTGACCTCACCATTGTGTATGAGTAAAAGTACTTATGTCCACTTAAAATTGAAGTGATTATGTTTCTACCACAAACTTGACAGGATATGGTGACATGTATGCCAATCACACAGCTCAGAGGTCTTCTCCCAACTCCGATACTGCTTCATTTTATTACTTTTGTTGGGGCAAGCGTTGAGAAAATTGCCACAGAAATGAATTTTCCTTCCTCCTGCAGATTATGTTCTTTGTCAGTACTCTCTTCCTGCCTTCCCAAGACCTGTGTGGGAAGCACTCTGTCCTAGGCTGCTGTGTATCACTTCTCTGGCAAGAAGTATTTAATCTCATGGAAGACAGGAATCGGGAAACCTGTCAGGGAAGAATCTTTAAAGGAAATAAAAAGGGGGCACATTTTTTTCCCAAAAGGAATACCCTCCAAGAAGAATCCTAGCTCTCTTTAGTTTAATATAGAGATGAAGTCCCAACTGAAGACTCCTGTGTTGTCTGTGCTGAAAAAAACCCTCCATGACCTAGTTATCAGCATGACAGCTACCAGTGAATATGAGACATTTACCTCCAACCAGAGAGGCTTCCAACAAACTTACAGTCAGTCCTGCCAAACAAAAGAAAGCTGTTTCACACAGCACTATTTAATCTGTGGATCTGCTTATAGAGTGATATACCTATAAAGTGATAAAAAAATTCAATAAATATATTCTGAAAAAGGATTAGCTTGACAGAATAATGGCAGATAGGTTGCCTTAGTGTGATAAACTAACAGATTTGGTGGTGTACAGGCCATTTTTATGCTAAGCATCATAACTACGAATTGCTAGAAAATAGAAGGAAATATCACTCCAAGTTTGCTCTATTTCTTGTATTCCTCCCCTAAATATCTTCTACTGTTATTGACATTCCTTACATAGATCAAAATTGAATACTGCAAGAAAATTCTTTCAGAAAAAACTTAGTACTTGTTGAATAAATTATATACTCACCTGAAATGGCTTATTTGGTTTTCTAAAAGCGATGAAAGTCTGTCCTTAATTTCCTCAAACCTTTCTTTTTCCTCAACAGATACTGTTCCAATTCCATCTGGCCTGTAATATGAAATATTTATTCATTGTTGATACCTCTTCACACTGATTTCTCTTTGAACGGTGATCTTTATTTTTAAAGCCTTCAGTTAACATGTGTGCTAACTTTCCTTTCCCCATTCCCATTGCCTTGAAGGATACACAGTAACTTGTGAGTATGGTTAAAGAACAGACTGTAACTACACAAACCGTGTAACTTTTGAGGTGAACTTTTAAATTCAAGTCCTAAGTTTCTATCTGATCCCAATGTAAACACAAAGTAGCATATATTTCTCCCAAATAATTCCCAAAGACATATGATTTCCTTCCTCAGGAAAATTAGTACTACTGGCACGACAGAGGGGTCTACTTGGATCTTGTTGGACTTCAAGTTCTTGAATCTTCCAGGTATCTCCCCAGAGGCACAATATGGCTGAAAGTGATTTAAAAATAAAGGTGGGAGACAAAATACAGTAAGAAAAGTCAGAGCAGGTAACACCTAGGAATCTCCCTGCATAGAGTGAGCACAGATTCAGGATGCCGCATGCCATGTCAAGAAACAGCAGCGTCTAAACAAGACTTCTATATAAATGTAGCAGAAAGGATGCAATCAAAAAATAGTCTAATAAACCAAAAGCACTGGCATTTTTATATATCAAATTAAAGTCCAAGTAATTAATAATGAGCTTTGTATTAGGTATGTTTAGCACACACTTGGTTTTAGACTAAAGGTGTTATTTATGTATTTATATTAACATAATGTCAAAATTAAAGAAATTTAAATAGATATTTCCCAAATGCTGTGTTTTTGACATGCAGTCACAGCTTTCCCACATACAGCATACTTGAAAACTCAAAGCATCTGAAAAGTTCCTGTTACTCTCTTAACTTCCAGCTCCAGGGTAACGAAAGAGTTCCTGTTGACCACTTGCGCTTACAACCCAGACACTAAAAGCAGATCTGCGTGTACCTCCTCCAGAGCCTCCAAAATGGTATCTCAATATTTCTAGAACTGAGAAAATTGTAATAGAATTACATGAAGAAAGACAACATCCTATGAATGTTCTAAGAATCATTCTAGGATTTTATGAACAACTTTTTGCTACGTTGCTACTTTAACCTTCTGTACTACACCTAAATCTAGGAGGGATAAGTTGTTTTCTAGTCACGACATAAACAATTCTCTCACACTTTAAATCACTTATATTTGTGATCTGTCAAGTCAAGGTGGAAAGAATGCCTGAACTCCTTAAGTTATTGTGAAGACAACATTAAAAATGAAATATGGTGGATATATGAGTAACCAGGCACATCAATATACTATTGTATAAATTTGATGTGAAAGAGCAAATAACTTATCTTCTCTCTTTTGATGGATGCCAGGATACTTTACCTCAGCCTTCTGACAGATGGAACAGGCTCGAATTTAAGTAAATTGCACTGTCTGATTTCAATGTCAGGAGAGATTGTGCTCTGGAGTGATAAAGCAAATAGTTCTGTCATATTAAACCTTGCTGAGGCATGTCATATATACGACAGAAAAGACCTAGGGGTCCAGACAACAGTAAGTGAAAAAGGTGAGCCAGTAGGATGTCGTATCTGTCAACCTGCACTAAGGCTAGGATCACTATGTACCCGGGACCTGTCACTTCACTGAGTTTCTTGTAATAAAGAACCGTGTTGACAACACCTAAAATTTTCACAACTGTTAAGTATATTTTCCGTTTGATGCTGGTGCAGAAGAAAATGTCCCAGAAGAAAAAGAAAGAGGACATAAAAAGGTGCTAGAAAAATGTACCATCTATATCACTGAAAAAACCTTGTCTCTCGAAAACATGCTTTTAGAAAACAGGACATGCTCTGAGTCATTATTTTGTTTCTTCCTGATAGTCTTATTGCAACAAGCAGAATATAAAAATGTGTTTTCCACAACAAAATTCTGAGACACATGTGGTGCTGGTAATAATTTTTTGCTACTCTTGGGAATGTCTGAAAAATACTACTGAAAAAAAGAATCTACAGAAAAAAGATTTTGACTCTGAAATGAGCCAAGATAGAAAAAATAGATAAACAGTTTCAAAATTCCCAATTGTTTGGTCTTATAGATCTTTAATTGCTCGTAACACAGAACTAAATAAAATAATAAAATGAAATAAATAACACCACCACTGTTTTGAGATTTTTTTTTTTTTTACAAATTACTGTGCTTGCCAAGAACATCAGGCACAAGAAGTCACTTAGTTTCTAAAGGTTTAGGTCATACATAAACTATGCAGGAACTATTTCGCAACTAAAATCAACAACAAATGTGCCTTTCCTATGATTCCAAATGTTGCAGATAGTGGCTTAGACTTGATTTTTTAATTGAAATCCAGCATTCAGCCTCCTTATTGAAACTGGGACCTCTCAAGATCAAGTGATGGACTGTCTCAAGAAGAGTTTTCATATTAAAATTATCTTCTCTAAAAGGTAATGGGAGAGTGAATTTTCCTTTCTCCGTATTAATTTTTTCCCTTATTCTTCACACTGCTTTTGGGATTAGAAAGCTGGGTGAAACAGCGAACACTCAAAACCTGAGTAGCCCTCTCTCTCTCCCTTGTATTAGTTTTTCCATTTTTTGAGAACTCTGTCAATTGGACTTGGACTGGCCTGTCTTGTCTGCTTATATCATCGTCTGACTGGCACAGATGTAATGCTGTCTCTGTTCACATCTCAAGTTGTTTAATTCACCCAGACTTAAATATGAAAAGAGATCTGAAATAAACACCTCATGAACTAGAGCTAGCAAATTCAAGTGGGAAATAGCAGTTTGACCATTAAACACTTAAATAATGACACCAAAAATAAAGGCTTACCAGAATTTTAAAAGAAACTTTTACTGTGTCTGTCTTGCAAGATTACTGTCCTGATGACAGCAACTCTAGGGAAGCTAATTGATTAGGTGGCAGATTTAGGTTTTCCTCTGGGAATGGACTGTTTTTCCTCACTTGATATAAATCCTTTAAGGCTTGGAGTACCCTCTAGAAATATTTTGATGTCTAGAGATCTTAAAACCTGTAATAATTTGCAGAGGTCACTCGATGCATTGTAGGATTAAGATTCTTGTGAATAGCTATGGCACGTGAGATAAAAATGGTATTTCCAGTTCCAGTGGGAATTAGGATGTACACTGGGTTGACTGTAGATTGTTTCCAGCCCTCAACTTTGGAAACAGCTTCTCCTAGTGGCCTCTCGGAGAGTGAATTTTCACCGTAAACACGACTGCTTTGTTGAGACAGCCTTGAGAAATACTAACTGAACATGACTGACTTTTTTTTTCCTCCGCAACATCCTTGGTAATGGTGCTTTTTATGTATTTGCAGGTTTTAAAAACGTTTGTAGCTTTCTCAGTGAGCTTTCCTCATTATAAAACGTAGACCACCACTTTGGTCTGCCCTGAAAAACAAGAGTATGAGGAGAGCAACATGTAGATTTATGTTCTAACATGCACAAAGATATACATAGATGAGAAACAGTGAGGCTGACCAAAAGAATCTGCCAGAGAAAGATGAGAAATCACGATGGAAAACAAAATACAATAAAAATACTTCAGCTAAGGTCTTACTTCAAGATATTTATACAGTCAACTACACTTCAAGGGTGTAGAAAAAACAAAACCAAAACTTAAATGTCATCTTGGCTCCTAGAAACAAATTGTTTCAGAAGACTTCAGTACTTTCTAAGAGCACTTGTTTTTAAATTCAGCA